ACCTGCCCACTGGCGCACGGGCTCCCTTCCCCAGGAAAACCCGAGACGCACTGGACGCGTGCCCCCAAAAGGCTTGATCCTATCCATGCCCAGTGCGCCTCGGCCTCGTGGCGCCCCTTCCAGGAACGTCCAAGACGCACTGGATATGGAGGCCGACAGGGGGGTGACCGTATGCCGCCAGAGGGAGAGGGCCAAGAGGGTAGCGTTACAAGAAGCGGGGCATAAACATAAACTTTTGGCGCTCCGCGCGGACTTCTTGGATCTGCGCTGGACCCCCCTCCCTGGCGCACGGAGCGCGCCAGGGGCGGCGCCGGAGGCGCCGCCAGGGGGGCCCAGCGCAGATCCAAGAAATCCGCGCGGAGCGCCAGCAGTTTATGTTTACAGCGTTTGCCTTCTTCGACGGAGGGGGCGAGCGATGCAGCGACGCGCACCCGCAGGCCTCAGGAGCGGGGACCGAAGCCCCGAGGACAGAACAGCAGCCCAGCACCGGGGACGGACTCACGCGGCGCAGGGGCCACGCCCGCACGGCCCGGAGTGAGAGCACGACGGGCCGCCGGCGCGGCAAAGCCAGGACCTACAGGGCGCATCACAACACGGCTGCGCCCCCCCGCCCCTGCGTGCGTGCGTGCGTGCGTGCGTCCGTGCGTGGGTGAGTGAGTGTGCCTGCGTGTGTGGCGTGTGTGTGTGTGTGTGTGCGTGTGTGTGTGTGTTTGTGTATGTGCGTGCGTATGGCGTACAGCCGGCCCGTATCAGAAGGATGCGCGATCAGGATGCAAAGGCCTCTGAAGGCTGTTTCGAAGCTTTTCGAGCGGGGCGCGGCCAGCGAAAGTGGCCAAGGATGTACCGAGGAGGAAAGGATGAGATGGTACCCTTGGGAAGGTTGCCCATCCCTGCTGTGCGGGCCGACTGTACTTCGTCGCGCGCGCGTTTGCTGCTTTTCGACCTTATCCGCCCTGTCGCCGCGCGCAGGGCCAGGGTGTCAAAAACAAAGCGTGTGCCTGTGTGTGTGCAGTTATCAGCCCGCGGTTTTCGCTCTGGAGCGCCGCCCTCACCGCAGGTTGAAACCTTGCACGACGCAGCCCGTCCTGGCGCTGATCGTGGCCGTGCTGCCACATCGCTGGCGGAGTCAAAAAGGTGCCTGCGTACCCCTGGCATGCGGTACATGTGTGCATCTATATATATATATATATATATGCATATATCTATATGTATATATATTGTTTATGTCTCTCTCTTTCTCTCTCTCTCTCTCTCTCTCTCTTCTGAAGCCCCATAACCCCCTGATCTGTCGCAGGTCTCGACAAAAATCCGATCTCTGCCTGGTCCCGGGGCCCGCAGCCGGGCGAAGACGCCTGGCGCGAATACGTTGCAGCGCCAGGGTCCCAGGGACCCCAAAAAATCTGGACTTGGGCGCCCGAGTTATCCGGGGTAACTCGGGTCCGGGGTAACTCGGGTTTTGGATTCCCGAAAAACGAACCCGAGTTATCCCTGACCCGAGTTACCCCTGATGATTCGGAGCTCTGATGGACCCCTTTCCTGGAACCAGCTGCTCATCCCGGGTAGTTGTTGGTACGGTCCCGGGGCCCGGCGGGGCTTCCCCCCCGGAGGCCGAACATGACGAAAAAGCACCACCTTGCTTCTTCAATTCAATGGCGGCTCATGGTAGCCTTCCATACCATCTTGTCGGCTCTTGCGAATCGACGCTCATCGACACAACATCGACGCTGATCAACGCAAAATCGACGCCCATCGACGCTAGCCGGCGCTACATCGGCGACATCTCGTCGACTCCCAGACGCTCATCGACGCCAACGACGGAACTAAGATGATATACCAGGCTCCCATGATCTCCGACCGAAGAAAAACCTCTGCTTGCTTTCTTCCATGCGTAGGAACTTTGGGTCTGCATGCAGGTGTGGCACGACGAAGCCGAAGGCGGCAGCGCGCATTGACCAAACCGAACCGATGGACGGCCGCCCTTCCGCTGGGCCCCTCGCCCTTCCTCCTGCCGCCGCCGGCCCGCCCCTCCCGAGTTCGGGGGCGTCCAAGATCGGCTACACGCAAGAGTGACCCTGGGCAAAGAGTGACCTTTGGTGCGCGGTTTTTGGGGGGCCGCGGGGGGGCAAGCGCGAAGACGCTGCTATCGCATCGCGCTCGGCGATCGGGGGACCCCAATGGGCCCGCATCAAAGGTCACTACGGCGCAGGATCACCCCTACGCCTAGTCGTCAAGAGAAAGGCGTCTGGGACGGGGGGGTCGCAGATCACGCCCCAGGGCTTGAGCGCGGACGGGGGGGGATCCACGGAACTCACCGAAAGAAGAAGATGCGGGTGCCACGAGATCTGGAGAGAGATCATGGCCACCGCCAAGGTTCGGAGGCGAGCCTTGGGGGGGAAGTGAAAAGGGGGGGCCTTCTCAGAAGGCTCGGGCGTCCCCCAGCCTTTTTTTAACGTGGTTTGAGCTTTCCCCGCAGCCACAGAACACTTCTAAAGCGCGAGACCCTCTGAGAAATCCCGGGGCCTTCTCAGATGGCCTTCTTGAATTTGGAGGTGGGTCCTGAGGAAGACGGGTCCTGCACCATGGCGCCCCCCCCCCAGGACCAAATCTTCACACTGAGCCGTCTCCTGACAGTCCCAGGGCCCGTGGAGGGCCCCGAGAGCCCGAAAACGGTGAAAAACCTCAGGACCCCCTTCCCGCAGGAACCGTGTCCCCCATGGCGAACTTCCCCCCCTCGCTTGCTTCTCCCTCTCGCCCGCCGCCGACGGATTGCACGAGGGCACATTTGGAGGGGAACGATTCGGGGGGGGACTGGCACAAGTCGGGGAGACGACGTGCAAGACTCGGGTTCGGGGGAGTCGGGTTGGCCTGACGAGGCCGCCAGACCAGGGCTCGAGCTCAGGAGTGTTTTCGTTGTCGTACACATCGGGCTCGGGATGAAGAGAGGGGGATGGAGGGAAGGGGTGCAGAGGCTCCGCCACAAAACTCTGCTTCGGCGCGCCCAGCCGCAGCCGCGGTGCCCTGCCCGCCCTTCGCTTTGAAGACAAAGCCGCTGGCGAGGGTGGCGCAGGGGAAGGCCATCATATAGTTCGCCAAAATGTCGATGTCCTAGCGGGGCCCCTCTTCAAGCGGAGCCCCCCTTCAAACGGGCCCATCCTCAATAGCTTTAGAGCTTGAGGAGGTAACTCCTGGGAAGTCTGCACAATAATTACTAAACGCTACGAGGCATGAGGAAGGGTGCAATATCCCTAAGCCCGGCTACGCTGTATTCGTTGAAATCAATCAACATGTGGTTGGCATTTGCGAGTTTTCGGCCACGGGTATACCAGCGCCGAGTCTTACTTAAAACTCGCAGGAGCTGCATCCGAAGTAGTTTGCCCAGGCGACGTCCTGGTCAGAAGCCCTCTTCAGACGTCACCTTTGCCCACGAAAGGAGCGCGGAGCTGACAGCAGCGGGCCTGGGGTCTGATGGCCGATGCGTTGTGGGAGCGGTAGCCCTCAAATTCAGCCAGCTGATAACACACCACAACAAACAATGTGAGACGTTCTCACGCAATACGCAAGTGGCCACCCGGAAAATACCCCTGGTGGCCCGTCACACCATGCGATATGACGAATCGCTACACCATCTTTCTCCTCGCTCCTCCTCCGCCTCCCACTCCTCATCATGATCCTCATCCTCATCATCATCCTCATCCTCATCATCATCAACATCATCATCAGCATCATCGTCATCACCATCAGCAGCAGCATCAGCATCAGCATTAGCATCAACATCATCATCATCATCAACATCATCAACATCATCATTTTTCAACTCCTCTGCGATTCGCTCCTGCCTCCTCGATCTCACCCTCCGACTTGCCGTCCTTCCGGGAAACTGTGGGTCCTGCGTGGCGAAATGAGTTCGCATCGTGCCGCGCTTGAACCGGTAGCAATCCCACATGAACACGGCCCACAGGGAGATCGTGAGCATGAAGAAGATCCACCAGATAGTGACGCCTGGCAATAGGACGAGGACGAAGGGTGAAGGGAGAGGATCAGGGAGAGATACGACGGGCGAGGACGAGGACAAGGATGAAGGGAGAGGACGAGGACGAAGAGCAGGAAGAGGACGATGCGAGGACGAGGAACAGGACGAGGCGAGGACGAGAACGAGGATGAAGGGCGATACGAAGGACGAGGACGAGGATCTGGAAGAGGACGAGGACGGGGACGAAGGGTGGAGGCGGTGTGCGGATATGGAGAGGGCAAGTTGAGGAGAACAGACAGGAGGAGGGCACTGCACACACTGCAAATGTTCCCCCAAGCGCGGAGCCTGTCAGGAGGAAAAACGTTGAGACCATCAATACATTGATCAGGTTATCGCCGTAACGGTTGAGGTCGAAAGGCGGAGGTACCTGTCAACATGACCGGGCGAAACTAGCATGTCGGCGCAAATACTGACCCACTACGATGTGCTACACCAAACGGTATGCGATGTCTGGACCACCTTAGGAACCATGCTTCCTGCTACTGAACGAACGCATTTACGAACCAACCATGTGCGTGAGACGACCAGGATGTATGAATCGGTTTCAGTCGAAGCTGGCTGGATGCGCAATTCCCAGACAACACTGTATAAACAACATCTCTTGACCAAGCGGGACTGGTGAAACAAATCACTTGTCTCTGCTTCACCTCTCCGCCGCCTCCTCATTGCACCGTTGGAGCCTTTACTCCAGCATCCTGATTCCCCTTCGGGCCTCTCCCTGGGCCTCTGGGCGGAGTGAAAGCGTCCAAGATGGCCCAAGATGGCCCCAAGAAGATACTCCAAAATGGCTTCCGAGATCGCACAATCTACCCCAAGATGGTTCAATATAGCTTCACCTGTCAACATGCCTCCAGGAAGCGCCAATACCGCCTCAAGACGGTTCTATGTGGCCAGAGAGCCTCACAAAGGCCCTTCAAGAGGCCCAAATCCGTCCTAACACCCAAAGAGCAGCAACGCTGTTTTATCTTCTCGCCGTTACGCTTCCGATGGGCTCGAGACTTCAAAAATGGCTCAAGATAACTCAAGAGATCGCCAAAGATGGGGCACAAGACGGCCCCAGTAGCGCCCCAAGTGCGCCTCAAGAGAGCCCCAGAGGCAATAGCTCGACCTCTGGGGGAAGGGGTGGGGGGAGGAGTGGGTGGGGGCATTGATTATCTTCCCCTTCTTCGGCTGATGGGTTCCAAGAGCTCCCGCAGGGCCCGCAGAAGGGCCCCCAAGAGGGCCGCAAGAGTGCCCCAAAGGCTTTCAGAATGGCCCCCACATGGCCTAAATAAGCTACCAACAAACTTCGGGGATCTTCTGACCTGGGTCAATCCAGACCCGGGTCAGGAGGAAACCAAAAACTGCAATGCAGGAAAAAGCACTGCAACGCAGGTCTTCGCAAGCCCGGGTCAGCCAATATGCGCGGCCGCCTCGCGGCCACGGGCGGCTCGCTAACCCGGGTGAGCCAGAGGTGGTCTTCGCAGGATCCTGCAGGATTTGGTGCCCTGGCTGACCCCCGTTTGCATTGACCCCCGTCTCTTGAGCCCCGAAAACTGCCCATATCGAAAGTTCCGCGAAGGCATTTATGATTGACTCCTTCGCCTGATCAGGCTGCCTCCGATTTCCCGTGACGGCGGCCCCGCCTTCTGGTTCAACTACTGCGTGCTCGCACACTCCCCTGATCAACACAGCTCGCCTGGGCATCGTCGCTGGATGTGCTGGTGGGGTTCGTGAAGCGTCAAACATTGGAGAACCGGCCCAGGGAAACACATACGGCTGAGGAGGCGGAGGAGGGACAGGGGTCGTGTGAGCAACGACGAACGATGAGAACGATGATGGCCATCTGGGCAGAGCATGATGACCGTGGAGGCAACAACCATCAGCCATGTGATTGCGCATCGCGGAGCAGGGGTGCCAGACACTCCTCGGCGTCCTGCTTGCTGCAGGCGGGCCGTGAACGCACCAGCCACTTGGCGAGGAAATACGGGGCGACATTGAGGACCACCGGCTCCTCGTGGGCGGAACACGTCTCCGGATCCAGGGCCTCGCGGGCTGGGCCCCTAGGCCGCGGCCCCGCGCACACGAGCGCCCCTTCGCGGACGCCCCGCGCGGAGCACTTCCGTGCGACCGCGTACGCGAGGGACCGAGCCCCAGGACTCCCAGACCGCGGGGGCGCGGACGCGGACACGTGGCTCGCCGGGCGGGCGCTCCAGCAGGAAGGGCAGCAGCAGCGTGCACGGCCAGAGGTAGAAGATGAGCTGATCGAACACGGCGTGCTGGAGGCTGGGGTTCCGGACCTTCGCGTACGGGTCCGCCGCGGCGTCGCGCTGCCAGCCGGCCGCCATGACCGAGACGAGCCACAGATCGAGCACGGTGTTCACCAGCACCGCGAACGTGTAGAGGCCTTCGGGGCGGACGCTTCGTTCAGCCGCGCGCGCTCCCTGGGCGTGCATGGGCTGTACACCGGACTCACTTCTATAGCGCTCACTTCTATAGTGCTCACTTTGAAATTGTGGTCCGGAAGGGGCCGCACATGCAGGCACATGCCGCACAGTCGCATGCACATGCCCATGCAAATATACAAAAGCCTCAACAGCACTGCCGCACATGCGCGCACATGCCACACCGTCCGACGCACAGTCGAATGCACGGTCAAGCAAAACTCTGAAAGCATAGACGCACATGCCCGCACATGCCGCAGAGATGTCGCAGGCGATGGTGGCCTGACCACCTGAGCTCGGGGCATTTCGCAACCCAGAGTTCCGAGGATGTCTCAGGCAAGCGTGGCCGGATCACCATGGGGCAGGGCATCTTGGAAATCAGAGTGGCGAGGATGTCGCTGGTCAAGGTGACCAGACGACCATGGGGCAGGACACCTCCGAGGTCTGAGTTGTGAGGATGTCTCAGGCGAAAGTGGCCTGACCACCATGGGGCAAGAAATCTCTGAGGTCAGAGTTGCGAGGATGTCTCTGGCGAGAGTGGTCTGACCACCTCAGCCCAGGGCATCTCGGAGCCCAGAGTTGCGAGGATGTCTCAGGCAGGACTGGCCTGACCACCTGCTCAGGGCATCTCAGAACCCAGAGTTGCGAGGGTCTCAGGCGAAAAAGGCCGAGACACTATGGAGCAGGGCATCATTGAGGTCAGAGTTGCGAGGATGTCTCAGGCAAAAGTGGCCTGAACAGCTCAACTCAGGGCATCTCGGGCGAGGATGTCTAAAGCGAAAGTGGTCTAACCACCTCAGCTCAGGGCGTCTCGGAACCCAGAGTTCCGAGGATGTCTCAGGCGAAAGGGGCCGAGACACTATCGAGCAGGGCATCATTGAGATCAGGGTTGCGAGGATGTCTCAGGCGACAGTGGCTGACCACCTCAGCTCGGGGCATATCGGAATCGAGACTTGCGAGGATGTCTCAGGCGACAGTAGCCTGACCAGCATGGGGCAGGAGATCTCTGAGGTCAGAGTTGCGAGGATGTCTCAGGCGAAAGTGGTCTAACCACCTCAGCTCAGGGCGTCTCGAAACCCAGAGTCCCGAGGATGTCTCAAGCGAAAGTGGCCGGGCCACCATGGGGCAGGGCATCTCCGAGACCAGAGTTGCGAGGATGTCTCAGGCGAAGGTGGCCAGATCACTTCATGTCAAAGCACGTCGGCCTCCAGATTGCCGACGACGTCTCACGCGGAACCGGCCGGACGCGAACGCGCCGGCGTCCGGAGACGAACGCCGGCCCCGGCATTCTTGCACGTCCCGCACATGCCCCGCACAGGTACGCACAGTATTCGCACAGGCCGAGCTCGCCGGTGGCCGAGCCAGGCCAGCGATTCCGAGATTCCCTGAGCTCGGGCCGTCAAGCCACTTTCGCCTGAGACATCCTCGCAACTCTCACCTCCTCCTCCTCCTCCTCCTCCTCCTCCTCCTCCTCCTCCTCCTCCTTCTCCTCTGGCCGAGCCGAACAGGCAGGCGGGCCAGTGAGCCGGGGGCGCCCGCCTCCTCCGCCCCCCCCTCCTCCCCCCCCCCACCTCCCCCCCCCCCATCCCTGCTTCTCCGGCCGAGCTGAGAAGGCGCGCGGGAGAGTATTTTATTAGGCGGGCGCGCCACCGCCAGCTCACGAACCGGGCGAAGAACCGCCCCCGCCAGCAGCGGGCGAGTCTAAACGCACAACAAACTCTTTCAGGAAGCCCTGGCACGCCCCAGGTTAGCTCTGCGAAGGCCAGGAGGCATTGGAGGCACAGGGGTCCCAGACAGCTCCTAGGGCATGAGCGTGCATGTGCATTGGGATGTGCACGCATGTGCGCCCGCGCGCTTCACCGCATGTGCGTGCATGTGCGGGCCCACGCGGCCTCCCGAAGAGAGGTTGCACAGGCATGTGCGTGCATGTGCCGATGACAGATCTGCGATTTTCGAACACCTCCCGCATGTGCAGGCATGTGCGCGCATGTGCGTCGGACTGTGCGTGCATGTGCGTATGATGGATACATCAAAACACAGCGCACATGCCCCCGCACATGCCCGGGCACGACGTGCACAGTAGGAAGTCCATCCACGAAGGACCGCACAGGCCTGGCACATGACTGGCACATGCCGCGCACATGCGCGCACATGACAGCGCAAAAACGGCCGCACATACACCCACCCAGGGGTATAGATGTGAGTGCGGTGTACCTGCACACTCCTTGCATGAGGGTGCGCCGCATGCACAACTGCGGCTCGCTCATGACCCGAGCACGCAGCGCGCATGGGCGCACATGTGGTGCACGGTGCCGAACAGAACGATAGCACGTGCATCGCAGCTGCGACAATGTATTATACTCAGTACGACCGCCACCTCACGGTCTGTGAATCTCGTGGCGCTTTCCACGTTTAAACGTTGCTGTACTGGGGCGAACCAAGTTAAATCAAACCAGCCCGCTGGGCCTGAGTGGTCTAGGGAGCTCGTCCTGCGAACCCCATCAGCTCCCTTCGGTGAGGGGGTTCCTCCTCCCCCTACCCCCTCCTGCTGGGTCTGGATCCCCCCCGCAAGGTGTCAGAGGGTGTGGTTTGGCCCGCGTTGTCTCCCAGGGGGCCCCCAGGCGCCCGAGACGGCCTCCAAGATCGCTCAAAACATCACGAGATGATAGCTCCCCCAAGTCCACAAGTGCCCTCCGAGCCTCCCAAGGATGCCTTCAAGAGGCCGCAAGCATTCAAAACCAATATGGTTTTCAACGTGTTTGACCTTATCGTTTGTTTTGCTTCCCATGGCTCTTGAGGCCTCAACACGGCTCCACGATGGCCCAAAATGGTCTCAAAGGGGGCCCAGATGGCCCCCAGACGATCCGAGAGCGCCCCAGGAGGGCTCCAAGACTGGGGGCACTACTTGAGTATCCCCCTTCCTTTGACCGATGGCTTCCAAAATGGCCCCTCGAAGGGACCCCAGGGCCTCCAAGAGGGCCGAAAGAGAGTACCAAGTGAGCCCCGAGAAGGCCCCGAGAGATCCCCAAGAGGGCCCAAGAGGTCAGAGCTTTCGAGGTTAACAGCGGAGACCCACCTCGACGAACCACTTGCGCTGCCCAGCGCCAATGCACCGGTCAAGGCCAGCTGATCACGATTAGTAGTGACTTGCCACACCGTCCCAACAGCGATAACATGGGCTCCGTCGGTCACGCTGGAGCGCCTCCTCCTTGCCGTGTGCCTGCCACTCCTGGTGCTGCTACTGCTCTCCCTCCTCCTACTCACCTTTCAGGGCAGTCCACGGCGACAGCGCAACCGAACACAGACACCGAGACCGACACCGATCGAAACCGACCGAAAGGCAATATAGGCAACCTATAAGGGCGCCGCAGAACGCAGCAACGACACATCAACCGGCCGAACTGAAACGACCGAACGCCACCGACTGCGACGCAGCCGGACCGACCGAGCTGCGGACACCCGTGCCGGCGCTGAAACGTGACTTTCGCCCTGGTCCCCCACCCGTTCAAGTAACCCGCCAGGGACATCCAAGACCTCCCAGGAAATGCGGGAAGCCCAGGCCAATCGCAGAGAGAGGGAGAGAGAGAGAGAGAGAGAGAGAGAGCGAGGTTTGCAGGTCACAACTCTGGTCTCCGGCGGCAATTTGTGACGATCCAGGCGCCCTGGGAACGCTCTCGGCGAAGCACAACTGCTGTAGCGCATCCCGGGGCAGGAATACCTGCACGAACAGACCAAGACGTCTGAAAACTATCATCGATCCCCGATCCTCGGCAAAGAGCGAGAGAGACAGAGAGAGAGAGGAAGAGCGCTCCACGCCTGTGTAGTAGGTGTCACGCTTGTCGCGGCACGTGAACTTCGCGTTCTCGGATATCGCCCCGCACGCCGCATAGACGATCTGGTTGCCCACTGTGATCAGGAGGCCCACGACCATGCCGACACTGGCATCGCCCTGTGGGGCGGCCAAGAGGACCCTCAGACGGCCCAAAAGGGCCGTTTTTTCCTTTTCAGCTGAAGGGGTCCCGATTCAAGCGAAGCACTGGCTGCAACTGCTCATGAAGGAGACACTGTGAATCCGCTAAACTCCGCCCGAGGTTGTACCCTGAGGAGGCTTAACCTACGAAGCCGACGAATATACTTGCTGAGATGCGGACCGCACTCAGCCCGCAGCTGCACTGGCCCCGCCAGCACACCCCCGAGGCACGCGACCCCCCAAAGGGGTAGCTGGCCCACAGGCACGAGGAAAACTCGAGCTCGAAACCTTGCCCTTCACACTACGACCACCTCTCGCCCTGCCTCCTCGCGGACGCCTCTGGATTTGCATGCTAAACTGCGAATGCTCCTCGAGAAGTGAAAGACGACGAGAGCCTGTTTTCCACCACCACCACCATAAGTTGAAGGGGGGAAGGAGGAGGACGACGACGACGAGGAGGAGGACGACAACGACGACGAGGAGGGGGGGAGGAGGAGATCCCCCTCCCCTCCAAGTTGTAGAGGTGGAAGTGGAAAGCAGGCCCATCAGACGAGCAGTGCCACATGCGGCGGTGCCGCGGGGCACCGCGCAGGGCCGCAAGAAGACGGCGCCCATTCCCTGCCGGCACGGCCCCTGGGCTCGAGCCCTCCGAGCCTCCTGCTCGAGCAGGCCGCTTCCCTGCGTGCGGCTGGGAGCGCCACAATGGTCACGGTTGGAAGGACGCCGTGGGCTGGACTTGCCCAGCGAACCCGTCTCGGCGTTCGGCGCTGCTTGCCCGCACGTGTGACGGAAGGCGTGCTGAGCCGATGCCTGCTGGCATGCCTGCGCGGATGCTGCTGCTGGGCTGCGCTGCAGAGGCAACCCTTCCCTGAGAAGGAGACTGGGGGATGCAGATGGGGACGGGGAACGGGGGGGGGAAGGGAGTGGAGCAGGATCGAGACTGAGATCATGGGAGTATGTCCGCTCATATCCCAACTGCTGACTCTGGCGGAGAAGCGTCCCAAACTTGACGGATTGCTGAGCGCGGTCTGGAATGATCTGAACTTGAAGCGTGCTGCTGCGAATCTACGCGGCAAGAGCTGGATTGAAAGGTCTGAAACTCACCTCAATGAAGACTGATGCAAGCTCGAAGCGAGCTAAATATCGATACGTGAACGACATGGCTAGAACACAGCTCACCGAACTCAAAGCAATATGCACAGGGATATGTAAAGGTTGTCAGATTAGAAATGCCCATTCACCGCAAATGACAGAATGCACGCTAAACGCACGCTAACGGCATGCTGTCCGTAACATGCAGTTCAAGCGAACAGCAAACGAGGCCAAATCAAACAAAAACAGAAAACACGCCACGAAGCGACGGGACTTGTGGGAACCTTGGGAGTTGGGACGCCAATGACACCGAGCGGCCACGGAGTCTCTCAAGGGTACTACCCCGAGAGACCAATGCCACTCCACAAGAGATGGTGCAGAATGATGGCTGCTTTCTCGCCCTCTCGCTTCGGATGGGCTTCTGGTGCATTAGATACAAAAACACCGCGGACAAAACAACGGACTGCGTGTTTTGTGTGTGTGTGAGTTTTTTCCATAGAGCTCTATCGTTGCAGCCATAATGCCTCTAGACGGCCCTGGAGGCCCCCAGGAAGCACCCCAAGAGATCCTCAAGAGGCGATGCCCCTGCCTCCAAGAAGACATGTTTCATTGAGGACCCGCATCCTTTCGTTGCCGACTGCGCCTGGATTGGCCCTCGAGGGCCCCACGGTGTGCTCCGAGCTCTTCATGAGTCGGGCACTGTGAGGGGGCTGCTCGGGCCTGACCCCGGCCTCGGTCCGACCATCCAGCGAGAGACCTGAACAGGCCTTGGTGATTGGCTCCTGGGCCTTCTCGGGCTGAGCCCCCCTTCGGCTCGACTGACGTCCCCAACGCGGTGATGCCTGCGTCTCCCCCTACCGTACTCCTAACGGCAACTCGCCTCGCAACTCGTCTCTGGACGGGCTGGCGGAGAAGCGTGCACTGTCATTAGCGCAACCGTGCCGAAACGCAACGGACACCCAGGGGAAAACCGAACCGTGGCAAATGGCCTGGCCATCTTCCGATCGTCCTGGAAGTCCTCCTCGATCGAGACATGGGCGGGGAGGGCAAGGACGGTCTCTCCTGCCGCACCCACGGCGGCGCCTCGAGAGGGACGAGGATGGCCCGTCCGCCCCCCTAAGATGTGCTGAGCAAGCCGCACAGGGAGCGCTGTACCGATCAGCGCAGAGGAGAGAGAGAGAGAGACACAGAGAGAGAGAGAGAGAGAGCGAGAGCACGCAATCGGACAGAAGGTTGCCAAATTCGCTGCGCCGTCCTGGCTCATCCCAGCCACGCCGCCCCAGGAGAGGATGTAGAGCGTGTACGGACCCCAGAAGCACAAGGTCCACACCCCCACGATGAGGAGAATCTGGACGACGCCGATCACGGACAGCCAGCACCGCTCCTTTTTGGTGCTCGCAGAACAACTGACGATGCAAATGTGACACCAAACTTAGAATCGACGCAACGTGGAAGACCGTCATCTGTCCAACTGTGCGCCCGCATGCTCACCAACTCCACATCATCAACATGATCGTCCGTCGTGTCCGTCCTCCTCCTCCACCCTCCTCCTCCTCCTCCTCCTCTTCATCATCCTTCTCTTCCCGATCACCCTCTTCTCTTCCTCCTCTTCGACCGCGCGTTCTGAACGTGTCATGCTATGGAGGCCGTCCTCCCACACCTGGCAGTCGAGGGCGCGCCGCGATACTTGAGAACCCCAGCGCACGTACATGGCGCAAGCACAGATCTTGAAGCCAGGCGGGCAATACCACTTCTGGGCCCGAGGCATGCTTCAGGATCTGGTAAGGCGGTGTGGCCTGAGACCTTGCGAGCCCGTGCAGGCAAGTCACTGCCAAGACCTACGAACTACCCAGGCCCCTGAACACGCACTTGCTGGCACTAGCGCGGCAATCTCATCTGTGGGTACCGCCAGCGGTGCCAGTGGATTGTGGCCAGTGGCTCCACAATTCGACGGGATAGGTGGGACGGGAGTCGCCATCTTCAGGCCAACGGAATCAACAATTCCTTCATGAGGTTCGCATATGTATCCAAACCAACCAGCCAACAAGCAAGCTGCCTACCATCCACTCGGACACCCAAATGCTGCACAAGAACGGAACGTGTGTAACCCATCCCTACCACCAGGATACACTCCTCAACACGATCGAAGCCCAACCGCTGCCCGCCCAGCCTGCTAGTAAGAACTCCAGAGGGGGGACGCTCACGAGAAACAGAGGAAAAGGGCCCCCCCGCTGGAAATGCAATTCCCTAGGCCACCTAGCTTTGTTTACCAGCCTGGAACATATCCCTATCCCCATGCTGGGAATCTCCTCGTCACGATGCCAGTCTTCGGGATTCCCTTAGTTTTTTCAGGGCGGATCCCTAAGATTGTCATCGCCTACTGGCGTGTCGATCTTCGGGGTAGGGATAAGTTCGCGGCCGGTGATCTGTGCATCCCGCCACGCGACGTGGGACGGCCGGACCACCTCCGCGCCCTCGCGCCGCCCCCCCTTGCAGCAGGGCAGCCGCTGCGGCCCCGACCGCGGCGCACGTGGTTGTACGAGCCCGAGGGGGCGCCCCGGGGCTACGGAGAGCCGAGGACAGCAGCAGGTTACCAGCCCGGAACACATCCCCATCCCTATGTTGGGCATCTCCTCATCACGATGCCAATCTTAGGGATTCCCTTAGTTTTCCAGGGCGGATCCCTAAGATTGTCATCGCCTTTTGGCGTGTCAATCTTAGGGATAGGGATAAGTTCGAGACTGGGGAGCAGGGGACGGATAACACGACAACTTGCCCCTTGGGTTGACCATTCGAGAAGCAGGTTCCCTGCTTGGCTCTCTCGGATGTCAGCCGAACTGGCCCTGGCTTGACAAGGCTGCAGCGCAGGAGCAACCCTGGAACCTCCGCGTGGCGCTCCCTGTTGGGTCAGCACGGCTCCGCGCCGAAGTGCGATCTCACGCTCCTCCGCAGGCCCCTTCCGCCCTGGACGAGGCCAGCACAGCGCCTCCCTCGCTGATTTCCAAGGTCGGGGCGGGGAGCGTTTTGTTAGCTCAGGCCAGCTTGTCCCACCACCGCACTCGAGGGTGATGCAGGGAGGAGCAGGATCAGCAAGCGGGAGGGGCCACAAAGAAGAAAGGCGCACGAGGAAAGAGAGGGGGAGAGGGGGGAGCGGGACAAGCAGGAACGTGGCGCGGAGGAGGGGGTCTCCCATGACCTGTCACCGAGTCCTCTCCTAGCCCCGAGAGCAGAACAGATGAGGGGCCTGAGAGAAAGAGTGACCTGCCAACCAGAACAATCATGGAGTGTTAGAGTTCTCGACAGGTGCCAGCTGGTGTGAGCAGACTACCAACAGAAGAAGCAAGGGCGCGAGCAAGCGAGCCAGTCCGCGTCTGTCGTGGCGAACGCGTCCCAAAGCACGGTCTCGGCATCTCCCTGGGCCTCGAAGACCTCGAGGACATGCTCGCCCCTGAACTTCGGCAGGGGCTTCTGAAGGCAAGCCTGCATGTCACGATGCGTCCGCAGAACGACGAAGCACGACCTGGGTTCGGGAGGGGCCGAACAGACATCAACTGTTCGTAGCAACATTGCCAACGACACTCGGACTGCCGTCCCCCCTGGCATCATCCACGAGCCTACGTCAAATGACTGTCAAACGCCGTCGCTGCCACACCCGAACAACTGCGCAGGCCAGCGCAACCGTTACAACCCTGACCACTCCTAACGTGGCAAAGCCTTAACCTAACCTGACACAGGCCCTGCCCACACAGCGTCAACGCTAACCAGAGCCATTGAAGCCAACGTGACCAACCGAGAGCGACACAACACACACACACACACATTCAGGCACACATGTGTTATATGCATATGTATGCATATGTATATAACTGTAGATGTATATGTATATGTATACGGTTATGGATAGAATGTAGAGAGATTTGTGTGTACGTATATGCGTTATATGTTATTGCTATATGTTTACGTATATGTATACACGCATACGTTTATGTATACGTCTATGTTCATATGTGTATACGTATATGTGTTAAACGTTATAGAAATATGTATATGCATACGTGTGGGTGCGTTGGCGTGATCTCCCGTGTATCATCGAACGTTCTGCATTGTGTTCTATGGTTAGTACTTTTCCTTTTCATCCGTTGCCCCCGACCCTCCTCCCATCATCCATGATCATCCTCCTCATCATTGCTCGCTTCCGCCCCCATCCCTGTTCGTTGCACCATTCGTCTGCCTGCATCCCCAGCTACGGATAGTGTAGCACAGCCTTGTCAATACAGGTTGAGACGCAGCTCTCACCCCAATGTACATTCAGCCAGCAGTGTAGCATTCACAACGGTCACTACATCTCTTACAACAACTGGTGATACAATCCCTGCTACAACATCTACCGCAACTTTGCTACAATCCTCACTGAACCACCCACTGCAATTTCTACTGCCACCAATAGCGCGGCCCCCACTACAACTCATCAGAGTGAGGGGGCCGAACGGCCATTCACTGTCCCTGGGTGCGTGGCTGAAGTGGGACTTCGTGGTGCGGATTCTCGTTGTTGTTGTTGTTATTGTTGTTTGTTGTTGTTTGTTGTTTGTTGTTGTTTGTTGTTGTTTGTTGTCGTCGTCCCACCCGCCACCCGCCCTGCGACCCACCCGCGACCCACCCCGCGACCCACCCCGCAACCCACCCGCGACCTACCCGCGATCCACCCCGCGACCCACCCCGCGACCCACCCCGCGACCCACCCCGCGACCCAACCGCGACCCACCCCGCGACCCACCCCGCGACCCACCCCGCGACCCACCCCACGACCCACCCCGCGACCCACCCGCGACCCACCCCGCGACCCACCCGCGACCCACCCCGCGACCCGCCCGCGGCCCACCCCGCGACCCAGCCGCGACCCAACCGCGACCCATCCGCGACCCGCCGCGACCCGCCCGCGACCCACCCCGCGACCCACCCGCGACCCACCCTCGACCCAAACCACGTTCAAGGTACAAACCACCATTTTCGGCGCCTGCGGCGGGTTTTTTTTTTGCATCCCTTCCAGGTGGAGGGCCCGCGACCCACCCCGCGACCAACTCGCGACCAACCCGCGACCCAAACCACGTTCAGGGTACAAACCATATTTTTCGGCGCCTGCGGCGGGCATCTTTTGCATTCGTTTCAGGTGGAGAGCCCGCGGCCCACCCGCGACCACGATCAAGGTACACGCCAAATGTTTCGGCGCCTGCGGCGGGCATCTTTTGCATTCGTCCCCCGCGGAGAACGGCGCGACCCACCCGCGACCCATCCCACGTTCAGTGTGCAAACCCAATTGTTCGGCGCCTGCGGCGGGCTGCTTTTGCATTCCTTCCACGTGGAGGTGGAGAGCCCGCGACCCACCCGCGACCCAAACCACGTTCACTGAACAAGCCAATGCCGCACAAGCGCGGCTGCGGATTTTTGAGCGCCGTCTGCGCCCGCAACGACCTCTTCAAGCTCCGCTCATCCACACCAGCCCGTCCAGCAACTTTGCCCTGGCGAGTTGCCTTGATCAGAGAAGTCGGGGAGCATAATGTGGAAAAAAGGAATGCGTTGCCGTTATCTTGGGAAAGGAGGGGGAGGCAGGAGGAGTAAACAGGGGACGAGGAGGACGCGAAAAAAGGAGGATGTAAGGAGAAAGTGGAAAAAAAGAGGAGGAGGAGGAGCAGCAGGAGGACGAGGAGGGGGAGGAGGGGGAGGAGGAGGACGAGGAGGAGGAGGAAGGGGAGGAGGGGGATGATGATGCTGATGGGCGGCAACGGGAGGACGATGATGGAGGCCGATGAGGGGGTGGACGACAATGGGAGGACGATGATGGAAGGACGGGGGGGGAAAGGGAGGACGAGGAAGAAGAGGAGGACGAGGTGGAGGAGGATGACGATGACGACGAGGACGAGGAAGAGGAGGAGGAGGAGGAGGAGGAGGAGGAGGAGGAGGAGGAGGAGAGCGCCATCGACAGGGAAGGTGGGGGCCACGAGGTCCGCTGGCTCGACGACGTCCGCGTCGCCCGCGCCCGCCCCCTCGCTCCTATCCGCAATTGCGGGGTGCTATGTACACCAATTCCGTCTCCAGCTCTTATAACGGTTCCTTACAAGTCTTACGACGGTTTCTTCTACCTGTTCCACTACAGCCTGAAGAACAACTCTCACTACAACTCCGACTGCAACCCCTACGGCAACCAGCAGTACGTGCTGTTTTTTTTATGATCCCTCTGGACATTTCTGTCTCGTGGGCCGCAACGCGGACTGAGGCCGAGGTCCTGAGTCGGTGGAACGCGCATTTGGCGCTGGGTGCGAAGACCGCGACCCCTGCTGGGCGGCCTGGACGCAGCCCTCGCTTTCAGGCTCGCGCTGCAGCCAACTGTACAACTCCCACTACATCTCTTCTTACACTTCGTACAACCGCTACTTCTACAGTTCCTCCTACCAATCCGATTGCATATCCTAGTTTAGCAACGAGTGCAGCTCTCACATCAACTCTTATCACATCTTATACACCAGCTAATGGTACACCGCCTACTTCATATCCGAATGCAGCTCCTGTTGCACGCACCACTGCAGCAAGTAGCGCAGCTCCTGCAACAGTTCCTACTACATGTTTTAAGGAACATATGCGAGCACAGCCCCTACACTAATTGCCTTGTACAACCCATCGTCCAACTCAGTGTATGCACTTGTGTATTCGCCACAGCGGGCCCAAACCAATATGTTCTTGCACCCTCGATGTGCAATACGCGCCGCGCATAGTGTGCCATGCGTTGTGTCCATGGTGCTATGTGTCGTTTGTCGATTGTCAGCTATGTTGTGAAAGCTGGTTCGTGCAAGTTATGGTATGTACTATATGAGTGGTGCCGAATGTATTTATGTATGTTCCCCCCACCAATGCTTTGCACGTAATCGTTTACGGAATTGGATGGGTAAGCCAAGGTGGCCCTCCGCCCCAAGATGGCCCCCCAAGATGCCCCCCGATATCGCCAGCAGGCCCCCAAGAGCCCCCTCCCCAGAAGCTCCAGGAGCCCCACAAGAAGCTCAAGCCAAGCCCCGAGAAACCCCAACACCGCCTACAGGAGAATTCCGAGAGGTAGCCCCAAATCCCCATATACATCTACGAGGCCTCTGACCTACAACCAATCCAGGCACGGCCGCGGGTTGGGCCGACGGCCACTATACATCCGCCGCCCGCCGTGTTCACCACAAGCGTACATGGCGTGCTGAACGTCTTTACAACTATGAGACGGTGTAAGAATTGCCAGTGGCCTCCGTCTTGACCCGCCGGCCACGGAAGAACATCCAAATCGAGCAGCATCGCCCACAAGACAGTCGAGATGTCCCAAGATGGCCTCCAGGTCGGTCCAAAGGGGCCTCCAAGACAGCCAATGTTGCCCCAAGACGGTCCAAGATGCCCTCCAGACGGCCCAAGAGGCCCACAAGACGCGCCACGGGAGCTCCAAGAGGACCTCCATGAGGCCAAAATCATTGATAGATGCCTCAAGGATTTAAGGCGGTCTCGCCTTGTTGGGCTTCCGACGCTCCAAGACGGTCCCACAGGCCCCCAAGATCGCCCCAAAAGGCCCCCGAGGGGTCCGCAAAATGGCCCAAGTGGACCAAAAGAGGCTGCAGGGGCGCCCAAGACGGCCCCACAGCCCTTCAAGACGGCCCCAATGCGTCCAAAGAGGGACCCGCGACTGCCCAGAGAGGCCCCCAAGACGGCAAGACGTCCCCAGAGGCATACAAGAAACCTCCAAGTGGCCCCAGGGAGCTCCGAAGCGGCCTCAGAGGCCTCCAAGAGATCTCCCAAAGGCCCTCCAAGAGGCACCCAAGTGGCCCCCAAGAAGCCCCCAGGAAGCTGCAAGGAGGCCTCAAGCTGCCACCCTCTCCTCTCCCTCATGCTTCTCCTTCTCCCGTGTATCCTCGTCTCTCGGCGGTGAACGATGGGGGGAAATGACAAGGAGAAGGCCTTACAGAAGACTCGGAAGTTCCCCGGCCGTCTGAGAAACGTTCCAAACCTTCCCAGAAGGCACAAGCCTTCTCAACGGCGCGAAGACGTCTGAGAAGTCCCGCGGCCTTCTGAGAAGGCCTTCTCCTTCTCACTTCCCCCCTCGCTCGCATCCTCGACTCTCTTCCTCTCCCAATATGCTTCCCCAAAAGGTTTCGCAACGGCTGGGGGAACCGTAATCGGGTAGCCTGCCTGGACGTTGACACAACTTCTGGCCGAATTGGCGCTTCCGGCCAGCAGGATGCAGCGGTGTTTCAGCGTGGGCGTCTTCGCTGATTCGGAACGGCACTAGGCGTCTGCGGAGAAGAGTGAGGGGGGGTCAGTGACCCTTCAGTGGCAACTCATGGGAGCCTCCCGTACCAGCTTGTCGGCTCTTGCGAATCGACGCTAATCGACGCTACATCGATTCTCATTGACGCTACATAGACGCTAAACCGACGCTAAATCGACCCGACCTCATCGACTCCCAGACGCTACTCGGCGCCAATCGACGCCGAAGACAGAT